TTTTTTCACTATAGTTACAATAGTTATTAATTAAATACCTTATTTTTAATTTTACAAAGAAAACATTCCAATTTACGCTACATTAAGTAAATACTAGCGAAGTATTTGTACCCGCGTCAAAGAACTGATGAAGCTGATGTCAAACACCGTCGCGCAAACAAGTCTGCAGTCTGCGAGCATGTCATGGATAAACCTACACATTCAATGAAGTTTGACAAACCCCAGGTCCTTGCAAAAGAAGTCCGTTATCTGCCCAGGATGCTGCGAGAGGCCATTGAAATTAAAAAACATCCTAATTTCAACAGGGAAGATGGTTTCTCCGTACCACCAGTTTGGGATCCAGTATTTCCTCTAATGAAAAATCCCAAACAGACATAAGACTGCAGTACTAATTAATATGTTTTAATTTAATCTAATTTCTATTAATAATTAATAATAAATTAAACTTAATAAACAAATTCATTCAATAAAATAATTTGTAAAACTTAATGTAGCGTAAATTGGAATGTTTTCTTTGTAAAATTAAAAATAAGGTATTTAATTAATAACTATTGTAACTATAGTGAAAAAATAGGGTGGTTTGCATCAATTTAGACATAACTGGTTGAAGACTGTACCACCTCAGTCAACCGTGACCATGGGACCTGTAAAGGGCCCGAAACGTCGGTTTGTTTGAAAAAACAAATATACGCGATTTAAATCCGGAAAAATAGTTTCATTCCTATGTATAACAATCGCGAAAACCTAAGAACTCGATACATATTTAATATTAAATTACAGATGAAATGTGATTCCGTTTGTTTTGTAATTATATGTTTTGCTGATAAATGATCTTGAGATGATGAGTGTCTCTTTTAAAAAGAACAATAACTTGCCTAATATGTAAATCGTTGATCCAGCTTATATCCTCTATGGAAGGCGCGGTGAGGTTTCCTCTTATTGATGTAAAAGATACTATAGTTGAATGCAACCTCACTGGCGTTCCTGAAATCAAGACAGGAAATGAGTCAAAGAAATAATAATTTCATTCTCAATCTGAGACTAACATTTCAAAACCCGTCCTTAAGGCTGCCTTTCCACCAGAGATGTGCGAGGTAGCGCGGCGGTGTAGCGGCGCTGTGAAACGGTGTGATGTTTTCCACTAAAGCTGGCGAGGATGGGTTATGAACTGCTATGCGCGGTCGGGACACGGTGTGGTGTGGTGAGCGGTGGCGATATGTCAGTGTCAGTTAGTGTCATACTTTTAGTATTAGCTCTAATTTCCTACACCGTTTTGCACACATTCCTCGCACACATCTCTCGCATACATTTCTCGTCATTTTGTATTTTTTTTTTTTTTTTTTTTTTATGACTTTAAGTAACGGGACGAACAAGTCGTGTGCCTGATGGTAAGCTACACGCCTGCCCATAACAGTTGCAGTGCCTAAGTATTTGTATGTACAAATACTTAGCTCCGCTAATCCTTTTCCACCGAATCTGCGCTAAGTGAGGCTAGGAAAATGAAGTAATCCTATTGGTGGATTTTTCATCGCACTCTACTTCGCTACGTCGCACATCTCAAGTGGAAATGGACCCTAACTCCGTTCGTTCCTTTGTCGCATACATTCTTGCAAATGGGAGGTATATCAATGACATAAGTATGGAGTGTTCTAGCGTCTCATGCACCAAAGAGATACGGTAAGCGCGACGCGAAAGTTTTCACTTACCGCCCAGTTACCACGCTTTCAAGTACATTAATGGCGACTCTGAATTCTATTTACTAAGCTACAACATTTAAATTCCTCAGAATAATACAACCGTGCGTTCGCCGAGCGGAGTCCGCGTAGACCAAATTTAAGCCAGTCTCGCCCGCGTGTCCGGGACGCTCATTTAAGTTAAAACGTAAAACCTAAATACATAGAGCGTATTTTGCCATGACAGTTAGAAGCACGCGGCGCGACCGCGTTTGCCTTTAAATAAATGCGCCCTCAGGCTTGAAGTGAACTGTAAAATTTAATGATGAAAGCCATTGACTTACAATTATATGGACGTCGGGTCCGCGCTAAAAAGTGTCCGAACTTATAGGGCGTTAAAATCGTATACAGAGTGTCATTCACGCTTTAGTCTTCGTTTGTTCGACTGACAGCGAAGCAAGCAAAATTAGACAGTACTGCGATGACATTACAATTTAAATTCAACGTTTTGGATTTTTCATATTCCTTGACATGTCACTACGTTTAAATAGGTTGACTTGGGACATTTTTTTCGTGGTTTTTGTATTAGACCCGTCGTCCATTTATTTGTAAGTCAATGATGAAAGCACTTAATTTTTCTCGTAATTTTGAGAATTCATACTTTCTTCTTAGTGTGTCGACTCTAACGTTTATATTTGTGAGGATCAGTACTCAGCGACTGACACAGCCCCCTCGAGTATATAACCAGAAATAGAGACGAAATGTCATTTAATTTGTTTGAAAACTATTCTGCCAAATCATTACAGCGACAACTGTTCTCCGATTGGCCAGCACGAATTCGAAATAATTGACGGATGTCGTCAATTGTTTCACCTCAAATCGTTAGTTTAACTTGAGCTTTGCGATAATAGACGAAAATTGCAAAATTACATATTTAATATTAAATTACAGATAAAATGTGATTCCGTTTGTTTTGTAATTATATGTTTTGCTGTTTTTCCCCACACCACCTAGTGGAACAGCACGTTATTGTCAGAGACATTGTCTTTATTACAATAAATACAGAATATTTGTGGAATATACGGAAACGTACATACAGGTCAGTTGTTAGCGCTGTACTATTTCAGCTTTCTAATTCGTGATTTCAGTGCAAACGAGAGTTGATATTTAAAAGTGATATAAGGCCCATTTGCCTGATAAGTTGCCAGGGATGGATAGCCTTTATTTACTTCGTTTCTACTTCTTGTTATATACTCGATGATGAATGTATAGCTAAATAAGGGAACATTTTATTTTTATTTCATTCATTGGTTTCACATTACGGGGTGCGAGGTACAGTGAGTAACGGAGCAATGAAATTATTTCCTGAAAGCAAATAGGCTCCGTCAAGAATAACGGCAAAAGATAATTAAATTATTATTATTCGTACATAAATTTGTTTCTACCGAGAATGCTGCCTTCATCAATTACAAATTGTTTATAAGTTTGCTAAGTTATAATCAAGCACGATTGTGTCGGCGGGACCAGCGTGAGTTAAACGAAGTTATTTTCAAAATACTAATAACATCTCAGTACTAAATTACTAATATCATAACATTGACTTACAATTATATGGACGTCGGGTCCGCGCTAAAAAGTGTCTGAACTTATAGGGCGTTAAAATCGTATACAGAGCGTCATTCACGCTTTAGTCTTCGTTTGTTCGACTGACAGCGAAGGAAGCAAAATTAGACAGTACTGCGATGACATTACAATTTAAATTCAACGTTTTAGCTTTTTCATATTCCTTTACATGTCACTACGTTTAAATAGGTTGACTTGGGAGATTTTTTTCGTGGTTTTTGTATTAGACCCGTCGTCCATTTATTTGTAAGTCAATGTATCATAAACAACAACTCTTGTGCCATTACTTATTATTGGGTGGGGGTAAACAGAAGAGAAAATAAACAAAGGGTAAAATTGAAAGTGTTGAATAAAAAGAAATCACTACGGAAGAAATATTCAGTAAAATTGACGATATACACTGATTACTATACTATATGAAAATACGTTCCTAAAGGTTTTCACGATAGAAAAAAAAACACAAATATACCACGAAATTTAAAAAAAATCGCTGTATTCAATAGATACTTAACATATACCAATGTTTTTAACCGACTTTAAAAAAGGAGGAGGTTCTCAATTCGACTGTATGTTTCTTTTTTGTATGCATGTTACGCGAAAACTCCGGTATTTGTGAACCGATTTTCATGATTCTTTTTTTCTTGGAAAGCGGGTACTTACATATTGGTACCGATTTCATTTTGAAGGAAATCATCCACCTCTAATGGTGGCTGTTCACGCATGAAGATTCATTTTTATAAATAGCGCCTAAATTTTCTTAAGGAGCAGTTATTTTAATTGTAGATTTCTCTATTTCTCCAGTTCAAGGCGTTTTTCTCTCAATATTTTTGGGTAGTAAGAACCGATTTTTATTATCTCCAGTGTTAAGTCCTGTATAGTGACGAATTTAAGGATATTTCAATAAAACTTAGCAAATAGACGTAATTCCACGTACTTTTGAGGTAGGTTTTTTTTGTACTCTGTACTGAGATTATTTTATATCAACTGAACCAAATAGAACTCGTATAGTATAAGATATATATTTTTCAAATAGCTTTAATTATGTTTGTAAGCAATAAATTGATGAGGTAATATCGACTTTTAAGCCTCAATAACTTTGAGAACCGCTGTCGATATCGCTAAAACTCGAACATAATAATTATTTGTAAACACTATGAAATTATGATAATGATTGGTCCTAGTTTCTAATTTAAAAAGAAATAAACTCTAGACTGTTAATATAATTTAAATCGTAGGTCATATTGATGTTTTCGAAATCAATCTTTGTAGAATTCGAAGTTGTACGGAAACGGATTTCGACGCATACGTCGACCATGTGCAGGATGAATGGAGGCGGTAACAGACTTCTGAACGCCATATCGGAGGATGTAACGTATCCAATATTGTGCCATTTTGAATCAGAATTCATGTTACCAAGAAGGGCTGGTGTCATAAATTGTGCATACCTGTTGTTAATTCCTATTATTTTTATTCAAAATCAAAAATTATAAAGTTTATCGGCATAACAAACAAAACAGAGGTTGAGACCATTTGACGTAGAGACTTGTATCATGAGGTACCTCTCTACTTTAACTCACTAAAAGATTTGTAATAAATTTTTACCTTACGTCTAAAAGAATTGTGTGTGTATGTGTGTTTAATCCAGTTTGTGACTTGAATAACGTCTTACCGATTTCAGTAGGAAAGTCCTTTTCCAACTGTATAGGGTAGTAAACCATCTGTTGGTTTATGTGACTGCCGAAGCGGACGAAGTCCTCAATCGTGTTTTTTACTGGAATTTAAAAAAGGATTACAGAATGTTTTTTATCGAGGGACTAAAACTAGCCAATATATTCCCGAAGTGTTTAGCCAGCCTTAGCGAACTCTCGGTGTAATAGACACCCTATTACACCGAGGGTTTATATTGGCTTTTATTCTTGAGGTGAAAAATTATTTAATCATTTTCGCTTATCGATGACATGACCAGAAATAGAGACGAAATAAGCGCCACCCATCCCTGGCAACTCATCTGGCAAGTGGGCCTTATATCACTTTTATATATCAAGTCTCGTTTTCGCCGAAAACATAAATTAGAAAACTAATAATACAGCGCCAACCACTGAGCTGTTTGTACGTCTCCTTATATTCTAAAAATATTCTGTATTTATTGTAATAAAGTTAATTTCTAACTATGGAGGGCTGTTCCTTTCGGTGATGTGGGAAAAAATTACAGCAAAGCTCAAGTTAAACTAGTCTATTTAAAGTGAAACAATTGACGACACCCGTCAATTGTTTCGAATTCGGGCTGGCCAATCGGAGCGCAGTTGTCACAGTAATGATATGGCAGAAAGTTTTCAAAGAAATAAAATGATATTTCGTCTCAATTTCTGGTTTTATGCTCGATGTTTTCGTTCTACGACAAAATTTAGCACCAAAATTCTGAAATTTTCAATCTGTCACAGGTACAACAAACACACTAACGCGGGAAAATAATATGGCGCCACCGTCCATGCGGAAAAGGCAGAACTACAACCGAGCATACTACTGGCTGTTTAAGTTTGTTCACAAGAAGTAAATAAGAAAATTAGGTACAGGGTCAAGAGCACGTCAAGCTTGACACTTAAGATTTAGATCAAACTCTATGCCGCTTACGATATATTACGATATGAACGGTCCAAATTTCAAAATGTCAAGCTTGACATGCTCTTGACAGTACTTACTTAAAATTTAATTGAATTGATATTAAATTGCTTTTTATGTAAAATTACTTCGCTATTTTTTTAGTTTGTTATAATTATTAATACAAAGATCAAACACTTCCAAAAAATTCCTTCGATCCGGCCAGATTCGAACCGACGTATTCTAGCATACCATGCCAGACGCTTTACCAACTAAGCCACGGAACGAACCAGCGGACCTCACGAATTTTTCTATATGTTTGTTGTCGTATCTTTGTATTTGGTTTTTTCAACGACTTTTTAGTCTAGCGCCATCTATGAGAAATCCTGAGTACTTCCGAGTGTTCGATCTTTGTATTAATAATTATAACAAACTAGTGGAGTAACTTCACATAAAAAAATATTGAATATCAATTCAATAAAACTTTAAATCCAATGAATAGCGACATCTCTAGCCGGGTCTGGTAGCTGTAAATGTATCTACTTGGGTGTCTCGTCTACGTCGGTTCGCATCCGGCCGGATCGAAGGAATTTTTTCTGAGTGTTCGCTCTTTGTATTAGTTAATAATTAAATAAGATACTTTTTACTTTTAAGGGGTTAAAGAATGCACTTTACTCCAGCTATCTAAGGCTATATTGACGTAGTTTTAGAGCACGAGAAGTGAAAAATAAATTTTAGTACCTAGTCCCGAGTGACCCTCTTTCCTCCCCCAACGCCCTTCCTCCCCAAACCAAATTACTTAAGGCGACTCACCAGAAGAGGTGCGAGAAAATCAGTTTTGCTAGTTTAAATGGTTTACGGATTTTCTTTTAAATAACGGCCTTAGAAGAAGTACACGATACACCTAAGGACATTGACTAAAGAACGTGCTAATTCGTTACACGACCGGATGTCTTTATCCGATCATATAAAATCTCGAAAACAGTGAAAAATAAAGGTTTAAAACGAATTATTTCAGAATAAAGTGATTTCTCCAATGAACATTACGCCATCTTCATTTTCTGTTTTTAATGTAAACAGCCTTATATTATTCACTAATATTATACTCCCCGAATTTTGTGAAAAAAAAAAGAAAACAAAATTCGAAATAAAACAAAAAATATATTTTATCTTCACACATCTTATAAACCCTCTATGATGTGTTCAAAAACCGCAAATTATGACCAGCGTAACGATCAACTGTTTTGTTACAACAAATTTCTTGTCTGTGAAAATAGATGTTATTATTACATACTCGTACATTCGAACATCTCTGAAAAACAAAGCAATTTGATTCGACCTCAATTCTAATATCGGTCGAGATTAAGTTTTATTCGAAATGAAATGTCAATAGCAAACAATTTTGACAATTTCACACGTTACTTGATACCGAACGATATGATAGTTGGGGCCGATTCTAGATTGTCTATGAATTGAATAAAAACTACGGTTGTGTGACATGCGTGAGAAAAATTTTTATTAGCCGCCATTTCGCCAGTCGTGACATGCGGTTCCTGAACACATCACAGAGAACTTATAATATGTATCTAGCAATAAAGCAGTGTATGTAACTGCACATAATTAGGCATTAAAATACTCGTGTGATGTATTTTAATGTCTTTCATTATGTAACAGTCACATAAACTACTATTGTGAAAAAAAAAAGAAACAAAAGACAAAATAAAAATAGAGATGACCAACAAATAATCTCAGTACAGAGTACTAAAGAAACCGACCTCAAAAGTAAGTGGAATTACGTCTATTCGCTAAGTTTTATTGAAATATCCCCTAGTTCAACACTATACGGGACTTGACACTGGAGATAATAAAAATCGGTTCTCACTACTCAAAGTATATTTTTTTTTTTTTTAATTTATTGAGGAACAAACAGTTTTACATATTTAAAAATATACATATTATATATAGTATATTGAGATAAAAACGCCTTGAATTGGAGAAATAGCAAAATCAACCATTAAAATAATTGCTCCTAATTTAAAGTTTAGGCGCTATTTATAAAAATGAATCTTCATGCGTGAACAGCCACCCTTAGAGGTGAATGATTTTCTTCAAAATGAAATGGGACCACTATGAAAGTACCCCCTTTCCAATAAAAAAAGAATCATGAAAATCGGTTCACAAATACCGGAGTTATTGCGTAACATACATACAAAAAAAAAGAAATATCAAGTTTCTAAAATAATAAAATTTCTAAATCTCAAGTTTCGCGTATGCACTTCGAGAAATAAAAAAAACCACGAACTTACAAACCGCGTTAACTACCTACTATGCGTACGCATATGCTTGGCTAAGCTACGGTGTTGTCGTGTGGGGAAATGGTGCAGATACAACATCTCTATTTACTCTGCAAAAAAAGCTTGTACGAATTTTAGTTAATTTAAAACAGACCGAGAGCTGCAAACCCTTCTTCCAGCAACATAAAATTCTTACACTTACATGTATATATATTCTAGAAATGTGTAAGTTCGTCCGAAATAATTTAGATTTATTTACAAAACGCGGAGATGTCCCCAATAAATATTCCTTCCGACATAAGGATAGATTGCTACTACCAGCATCGCGGTTAACTATGCACTCATCGAGTCCATTTGTAATGGCAATCAAAATTTATAATAACTTACCAGAAGATATAAAAACAGAAACGACTAAATTTATAAAAACTTTAAAATCATATTTAATATCAAAAAGCTATTATACACTGCACGAGTATTTCAACAATTGACAATTAGAGTATTTCCAAATGATTATTTAAATATTTAATTTCAAAAAATACATATTAATACAATAATAATCTAATTAATTCAAATTTCAAATTTAAATATTTTATTTTGGATTAATCTATATTGTTCAGTAATACCTACATAACAAGTAATTGACTAAGTTAATCATCATTTCATTATATTAGTTATTTAGTTTACAATAGAATAAGTTTAAATTTGCAAAAACAACTGTGCATGCAGTTGTTTTTAGTTTTGCTGTGCCCTTACAGGGTCCATAATGTTAACTGCTACTACCACCTAACATTGTAACATTATGGTCTGCAATAAACGTATTGAGTATTGAGTATTGAGTATTGAAAAAAAAAGGAACATACAGTCGAATTGAGAACCTCCTCCTTTTTTGAAGTCGGTTAAAAATTCAGTTAGCGTAGTGTCAATTGGAGATATCGAAAATATGTAACCTTGCACATAATTTACACATGGAGATTTTTCTTTTTAAGTACTACAAAGAACCTGCTAAATTTTGGCTTTTAACTGAAGGCCTATAGCCATTGACTTACAATTATATGGACGTCGGGTTCGCGCTAAAAAGTGTCCGAACTTATAGGGCGTTAAAATGGTATACAGAGCGTCATTCACGCTTTAGTCTTCGTTTGTTCGAGTGACAGCGAAGCAAGCAAAATTAGACAGTACTGCGATAACATTACAATTTAAATTCAACGTTTTAGCTTTATCATATTCCTTTACATGTCACTACGTTTAAATAGGTTGACTTGGGACATTTTTTTCGTGGTTTTTGTATTAGTCCCGTCGTCCATTTATTTGTAAGTCAATGCCTATAGCTATTAAATTCATATTTATCCGAAAACTTGAAAATTGCCAAGCGGTTCACCGCCCGCTGCTCCATCCGAAATGCCAAATTTTCTCCGCCTGTTCTTAATGTCCTTATATTCGTGACTTTAATTGATTTCGATGATCCTTTTTTAATTGGAAAGGGAGTATCTAAGTAGTGGTTCTATTTAAATTTCAAGAAAATATTCCACATCTAAGCGAGGCAAAACACGGGATAAATTTATTGAATTTCACCCACTTTCCTATACATTGAAATATAACTTGGTAAATACACGTAATTCCGCAAACTTTTGAGATCAGTTTTTTCTGCACATCATTATCTAATTACCGGATAGATACCATAGTCACTAGAGTTGGAAGTTAATAAAGAAGTAACAGTAACAACTTACCGTCATCAGCGTTCCATTTATCAAAATTTTCTTGGTTCAGATGCGTAGCGTAGACGGTTTTTTCGTGGACTTTGATCACTATGTCAACATGTACCTAAAACATTGTATTAGGATTAATGTACATAGATAGTAGTATATACTATAAATACTTGACCTACAAGCCTCTTGATACGCTTTTCAATAGAAGCCAAGGTGGCTAGTTAGTGGTTTTTTTTTTATTTATTCAGGGAAACAAACAGTCATAAAACAGGGGTTCTACTAAAACATTGATTAAAATAATTAGACCTAGAGTCCACAAATATAAACAACAAATAGTGAGCAAATACGGTTCAAGTACAAAACATAACAATTATTAATAACATATCATAAAATAACAATACCTGATAAATAAAAATGCTTATAATATTTTTTGGAAAATTAACAATAAATAGGTAAACTAATAAACTTAAAAAACTACTTATATATATAGTGTTTATCAGAAGCATCCCATAAAAACAAAGCAAAAAGTAAGGAAATATTATTTAATATATTTTCACGATAATATTATAATAGAACACTTTTAAATAATGAAAATTGCCACCGAAATTAATATTGAAAATTACCCACTAATGAGTGTGACGTAACCTGTTTATTATTTAAAACTCAACCAAATATAAAAGAGATGTAATCCACATTTTTTCCTACATTATTACTTTAAATGATACTAACGTACATAATTAATATTTTAGTAGCCGTAGAGCGTCTTTTGAAAGAGTTCATCCAGGGAAGTACTGTCACTTTACCTATTTCTGCTGCCAAGCAGTAGTGTGTGCATTACTGCGTTCCGGTTTCAAAGGGTAAGGGAGTGAATTACAGGCACATGAGACTTGTCAACTTATGTCTCAGGGTGACAGGGCGCAGTGGAAGTGCCCCTCAGATCTTTGTAATTTAAAGCTCTTATAGACATGCGTGTAGCTTCCTATCAGGCGCACGACTTGCTCGTTCCGCCACTTGATATTATTAAAAAATATAAATATACAAATGTGGCAACACCATTAGAGTCTGCCACGATCACGATCACTTACTTTAGTGGGCTCAACCAAAGTGACTTTAAAGTTTTTCAACAAATTTTGCAATTCCTCACTGATGGCTGCAGTGCCGTTGAAACTCTGAAGACGTCTGAACGCGTAGGCGGGAATGCCTTCCACTATTATATAAAGCTGAAAGATAGATTTAGCACAACACTTTTAATGAACATGAAACAATTTTTAACAGGATAAATTATTTGATCCTCGAATATATATTTGATCTATTGTAAGTGCAGCCGCTGCAACAATTAATGAACGACGTTATACGCGGCGGGAGGCCTTCATTGGTCCTGACCCCTTTATAGAAATAGCACACAGCCTGGCAAAGCTCACTTTGCTGAACGAGAGCTCCCACGTCTCCCGAGACGTGTGGTTGCAGACTAAGGGTCTTGAGCATTCTAAAGCCCTGATAGCTGCCTTCAGTGCCAAACACAGTAGAGAAGCTCTGTCACTGGACAGAAATGGCATCAGAATGCTGACTAGAGCCTTAACAGGACATTGTGGTTTGAATAAGCACATGTCAAATATTGGACCAACAGAGAGTGTAGATTCTGCCACGAGGCGGTTGAAACTCCTGTGCATCTCTTCACCCAGTGCTGCCCTCTGATGGGCGTGAGATGTTCCATACTGGGTAGGCACAGGCCACACCCAGAGGACATAAAAACTGTCGGAGCCAGGAAAGTCCTTCAGTTCCTTAATGCTGTTGGTCTTGGCTCCGAGCTGTGATTAGTGGTGATCACAATAGATCATTTATGGTCGCAGTGATGAGGTGCCTCATAGGCTCCAAATGAAGCCACCCTAATAATAATAATAATATACGCGACTGCTCAAAAGGGCTTTTATTCGGAGATGTAGAGCCTACATCAGTGTCGGTGTCCGTTTGAACATTTGCTATAAATAAATAGTAAATAAAGTTGCATTTATATCTAATATTGTTATTTTACTAAACCTCAATGGTCAAGTACAATTCAGAATAAAGAATGGTTCAAGTTTGAAAACCTAGTTTTTTAAATAAACTTTCTTTTTTACTCCTTTTGCACATGAATAGCAATAATTTTGTATTTAAATTAGGTACAATTATTAATTATGCCCTTTTGAAATCTACTTTAAACACACATTATTTTAAAATAGTTGGTCACTCAAGTTAGCTCAGAAAAAGATCAAAATTTCGTCTTACATATAGATAGCGTTGATCAATAAATAGCCTGGAAGTAGTTTATATTATGTAAATGACCTTGTGTTAGCGTATCGTGACATAATATTATTTTATTTTGTTAGAAAACTTACTTTGCGTCATTAGGAATTAGTTTCATCGAAATAAAAAATAAATCGATATCGTCATCATCGATATCAACGGAACGGTGACAGGCGGCCGCCATTACGAAAAGCACCTTTGACTAGAACAGACGTGTTTTGTTTTGTTTCGATTTATAGTCAAAGTCAAAGTTAAAGATTATTTATCCATAGGTAAAATAAATTTACACTTGAAAACGTCACATTTAAGCTACTGCTCGTTCACTACGCTGACCTCCCTGATAAGAACGAGCAAGAAACTCTTGGAATTGCTCTTTTCAAATAAACTTAAGTGCTATGGAATACATTTTGAATCAAATTTGTGTGGATTCTGGAGCCATGTCGTCTTTCCATACATCTTTATCTATCACGTAGTCTTCAATTTTGTAATATGATTTTTCGATCAAAATATTTTTAATGTAGTTTTTAAACTTAGGAAATGATAAACTTAGGAATTGATAAAACAAATTGATATTCAATTATGTTTTGTGAAATTACTCCACTAGTTTGTTATTATCGAACACTTAGAAAAAAATACTTCTATCCGGCCGGATTCAAACCGACGTCTTATAGCAAACCGCGCCAGACGCTATGCCAACTGAGCATAGCGTCTTAGTTGGTTTTCAACGACTTTTTAGCCGTAGCGCCATCTATGAGTAATCTACGAAAGTATATCGTCATTCAGTTTGGTAACTTTACAGCTACCAGTCCTGGCTAGTGATGTCGTTATTTATTGTAATTAATATTATTTTCTGAACGTAGACAAATATGCTCTAATCCTAAACAAAATAAAAGAACAGCCGGCACTATTCTTAAAAATCGATGCAATAAGCGCCATCTAATTGACTTGTTTGTTATTGTAGCAGACCCCGGTGCCAGCCTGTACCAGGCGTCGCAGCTCCTGCGCTGGCGCGCACGCAACGAGACCGGCGCACCGGTCCTTTTTATTTTTTTTTTTTTTTGCGTGGGGAAATCCTCCGAGGTTACCTCTCCGCCGCGGGGGCAGCGGGAGGTTATGCCGGACTTCTACCGGCTAAAACCCCACGGTGGCCTTCTCGGGTGCTCTAGTGGGAAGGATCCGGGATCGACTTTGCGCACCGGAACCCCCCCCAGCACCTAGCAGGAGCTACGTCCTCCCCTCCTCTCCTCACGACGAAGCGGGCCACACCGCCCCGTCGTCCTCCTCGCGGCTGCCTAACTTACTGGCGAACGAAGCCCCCGCTCCGATCGCCTGCAGCCGCGAAGGTACGCCGCCGCCGAGCGGGATCGGCCCTCTCCCGATCACGCTCGGCGACCTCCTTCTGAAGCATCACCGCTTCACAGAAGGAGACCACTGCCTCATGGGACTCTTGATCCGCCAACGTAGCCGCTACTATGCCTGGCGGAGAGAGATCTCGCCCGATCCGGGCAACCAGGATGTTCCGTTCGGAGGCCCATGCGGGGCACTCCTCCAGCGTGTGCTGGGCGGAATCCTGGTCCCTCCCACAGTGGTGGCACTGCGTCGTCGACTCGCGTCCGATCCGATTCAGATACTCACCGAAGCATCCGTGCCCGAGTATCCGCGCGAGTATCTGTGTCAGTCGGAACGTGGTGACGCACTTCCGCTGGCTCAACCAGACTTCGAGGTTGGGCAGGATCGCGCCGACGGCGCGCTGGCGCGAGATCCACGGCTGTTCCAGCCTCTCGCGCCACTTCTCGAACGCCCGTCGGCGCTCCTGCCACCGCACTTCCGGCGGCGCAGCTTCCTCCGCCTGGCGGAGGCGCGCGTAAATACGCGCGTCCATCTCCGCCAGAATGTCCAGCGGGGGAAACCGCGCCAGGACAGTCGCCGCGTCGTAGGATACGGTGCGGTACCCTCGTGCGATCCTTATGGCCATGCGGCGCTGCACGCCATTGACCATGGCTCTGCAACGCCGGACGCCCGTCAGTCGGTGTGACCAGACGGGTGCCCCATACAGGGCCACGGATCGCACCACCCCACCGTATAAACGGCGAACTTCCTCCGAAGGGCCCCCCAGGTTGGGCAGCAACCGGTGCAATGCACCCGCCACCCTATCGATCCGGGGAACCAGGCGCCGGAAGTGCTCCTCGAAATCCCAGCGACCGTCCAGGATAAGGCCCAAGTACTTTAAGTACTGCCCCACCTGGACGTCGACGTCACCAACGCGAATAGAGAAGCTGGGCGGTTCCCTCCCTCGCGGGAGTTTGTGGAACCGCAGCGCCTCAGTTTTCTGAGGCGCTACTCGCAAACCCAGCTCTTCGATTTTTTCGACGACGCGAGAAACCCCGAGCTCAGCGAGCCGGATGGTCCTCTCGAAGTCCTCCCCTCCGGCGAGCACCAGGGTGTCATCAGCATAACACACCAGATGCACGCCCGAGAGGAGTGCGACCCTCAAGACAGCATCGTATGCGAGGTTCCAAAGGAGTGGTCCAAGGACAGACCCCTGAGGAACCCCACACACGACCTCTCTGCGATGGCTTGCGCCATCCCGACCCGGGTACGTAATGTACCTGTCGCATAGGTAGGACC